TACCACAGCACGGCCCTGCCAGCAACACTGCAGTATGTGCTCTCGGGGGGGTCTCAGGGTGCAGCCAAATCTGGCACGGATTTAAGTTTCCACAGTTGGGGAAAGGAGGAAGAGAAAGGAAAGGGTTGTTTTTCCAGGACATCGGCTAGCTGTTTAACAAAGTTCAGAGTTTGTTTATCTGGGTCTCTCCTCTGCTATGCTGAAGCAGTATGCACAGTTCGACCCTTGAGAGCTGCAAACAACTGTTCAAGCACTTTGGGGGGAAGTTTGGTACAAAGCTTCAAGAGCACGAGGCCAAGCAGGAAGGGCCAGTTTAGACTGCAAGTCTCCTGCCAAGTTAAATTTTAAAGGGACATGAATAGCCCTCAGATTCCTTGGGGACAGATGAGCGAGAAGACCGGAGAGCCCTGGCCTGGTACAGCATCCATGTGAAGGGGTCCCCTGCGGGCACCCAGCCACAGCTCAGGCTGCTCACCCTGCAACTAGGGACAACCCTAGGGAATCCGATACTGTTATCAGCTTTCTTTTTTATTTGTTTTAAAGAAAAGATATTTCCAACTTAACAGAATTAAAAGCTGTAGATGCTTTACATAGCCCAGCAGTTTAGTGCACAGGATAATGAACATTTCTTTATGATACAGGATTTTCAAGAATGCCCAAATCTCCAGTCAACATCCATATCAAAGGGGTAGCAATCCAAAAAGTCCCTGGCTAAACAGGTCAGGGCCTGCCCACAGAAAATGCAAAACGTTTTTTTAAGGGAAGTACAAAGACTAGCTACAAAGCTGGTGTCTGTCTGCAAGCCATACGAGTTACATACCCACAGCAGGCCGGTGAGAAGAAACTCTAAGCTGATTAAATTAACCATCCCCAAAATGCTCCAGCAAGGCAGGGTTACCTACACGGTATAGTGATTTTTACTTTGATCTCCAGGAAACGTCTGTTTATTCAAAAGTCATTCGCTATAGCAACTGTGGTTTATAGAAAAGGAAGGAGGGGAAAGAGAATTCCCCAGTGCTTTGCTAGAAAAGTTGTACCACCATTAGCGGAGTCCTGCGGTTAAATAACTAGGGCCAAATTTCAACTAATTTCCAGAGAACCCCGCAGACTCGATGCTGGAGTGTCTCGACAGGCTCCTGCAGGAGGGATCCCAGGTTTCCTGCCTGACTCTGCGGATCAGCTGCCGCAGCGTGTCGGGTTGTCCGGCGGAGATGCTTACCGTCCCCCGGGAGCAGAGATCTCCCACAGGAACGTTGGAGTTCATCGCTCCAAATGAGACTCTCCTCCCTCCCCGGTCATCTTATCACTCCTCTGTCTGCAAGGGGAGGCACTCAGAAGCAGCAGAGATATTCAGAGGCAGGAGATCAAAAGTTCCTCCCTTCCTTTGAGCCTTCAGTCTTTGCATTGTTTTGGAAGGAGGGGGGAAAAAAACGAAAAACACACAAAAAAACCCAAACCACATAGCCTTCAAGAGGGACACAACACACAAGGTCAGTTGTTTTTCATTCCCACATACTAATAATTATCAGCACGAATTCAGCACCACTGATTCTGAGCATTCAAACCCCATACCTTAGTCACAAAATAGCTTTAAAAAGTCCATGTTTAAAGTTGTATGTATATTGGGTGAGCGCGATTTGCCTTTGTGTTTCCAAGTCCTACATTGCACTTCAGGAAAAAAAGACTTTAAAATGTGGCCCAGCCACAAGGACTCAAACCAGACTTTTTTTTTAATAGCATGAGATTCTCAGCTTTCATTTGGTGCCCCCATTTCTAACAGCTGAGATTTATGCAAAAGAACATCAAATGCCGCAGGGCTTATAATAAAAATAAAATAAAATCATGAAAGCTCCCACCACTGCAGTTTTGCAAACCTCCCTGGGCTGTTTTCAACTGGCACAAGACTGCTTGGCCTCTGCCACGAGCAAAGAAAAGAAGATGGAGAGGGAATGGAATGAGATAGCAACTGCTGGTGAGGGCACAGCATCTCTGCAGTGCTTTTATATGCCAAGGAAGTTCATGCTGGGTGCTATCTTCTCACCAGTTATGTTCCTGGGGACTCACTGGGGTCCTCCAAGACCTTGCCTGTGGCTTGCAGTGGTTCTTCTGCTCTGTCCTGCATGAGAACTGGGGTTCTCCTCCTTCAAATTGATGCCAATCAGGTATAAAAGCAAGAGGAATTTGCTGGTTTATGCTTTCATCTCAGTGCTATGGATTTCAAAGCAGCTGCTCTAGGAAAAACCACTTCCCTTTGCACAGAAAGGTTTTTTGCTCCATAAATATTGAATGTCACCTTCTGGTTACTGAAGTGCAAAGCCAAACCCTTGCAGAGAGGAGCAACAGGGACTTCACGCAGCTCAGGGGGACAAGGAAGCTTCTACAGCAGCAGCCACCACCAAAGGCCAGGTTTCTTCACATATTTTCCTTGTTAGTTCAAGAGTCAGAGAACAGTCAGACTGATTTAGCAAGAGCCCTTCTCAGCACTGAGCCCCTCTCAGCGCCGTCAGCTGAGACTGCTTGTGGCACAGACTGAGCCGTAAATTATTCGGAGCCAAAGAGCTCCTGCCATCCAGGAGGTCGGGCATGTCTGGACCCCTTGCCAGCCTGTCTGCGTGCTCCCACTCCTGCCCCTTTCTCACTTTGAACATTGTCTTTCCAGGCCAGGCTGCAAGGACAAGGAAACCACAGCGGATCACCGACTGGACACACACCCGCATCAGTTTTACCCAAAGCCTGAGCCACTTGAAGCCAAAAGCACAGCAGAGTCCATGCACCCATCATGCAAATGGTCCAGGAAAATGCTGGCTAAAACAGCCACACAGACAGAAATGGGGATGGGATATGAACAAGACAGTGAAAGCCAGTGTTTGTATTTGGATGCAAATTTTCCCAGTAGTGCAGGTGACCAAGAAGCGGAAGCCTTCGACTTTAAGGAATACCTGGTAGCGACTAGAAGTCTTCCAGAATTATAACAGCTTGGCTTATTTACTTCCCTCACAGTCAGTAAAACACTAGACCATTAATAAGAACAGCTTGAGCAATGAAATGCAAATGCCACTCAAATAATTAAAAAAGAGAACGATCCTCCTCCCAAAACAATGGATGGGGCTGTAACATCTGCCCTCATGGGAGAGCCTCGTACAGGAGGCTCTTGTTCCAGTAGCTTCAAAGAGGCTGTTTAATTTTAGTAGGTCCGCAAGCATATGACATTACAAAGCACTTCTTAGACAAAAGCAGAGCCAAGGAGCTCTGTAATCCATTTTCTCTACAGGAAGGAAGGCAAAACTTCCTATTGTGGGGAGGAGGTGGAAGGGGAAAGGAGGGGGCTGACATTTGAACGAGAATGAAACAGGCCAACATTCAGGCAGATCAGGCACAGAGCAGGGAGGTAAAAACAGCAGAATAGGGTGGAATACAAACCAGCTCCATCTCTCAGCCAAGCTCGGTGTACGTTTGCCCTTTTAACTTCGCTGACAGTAGTTTTGCTGTAGTTGCAATCTGTCCAAATCCCGAGTTCTCTCCTAGGAGAGATGTTTGCCTTTCATTTCCTTAGAAGGGTACGTAAGTACTTTGTTCTTCAACATACCCAGGGCTCAGCATCACAATTAGCAGCCATCCAAATACCAAGTCTCTGGACAACTTGCAGCCCAGCTCCCTCGAAGCAAGAAGATGCACAGAAGGAAGCGCTCAGCGCTGGGTACCACAGCCCTCTGAGGGGTGTCACAGAGAAGAGGGGGCTTTATTGATGGATTGTTAAATAAGAAGGGACACCGACACATGCTGACATTGCAAAAGGTGCTTGCTGAATAAGCACACATTGCGGAATAAACCAGCACCTCTCGCGCATTGCTTAACGGAGGGATGAACTAAACATGGATTGCATTACACCAGTGACAGCCCTGCGGCTCAGCCCGTGCTCAGGCCTCGACTCCCTCGGCACAACAAGCAGGGACCGACGGCTCCGACAGCTCAGCTCACACAAGAGCAAATCTCAAGAGGCGAGACCTCTTTTTTGAACTGCAGTAAGATTACCCTGGGAGGCCACAAACATATCCGAAGCATTAAAAAGAGGAAGGAAAAAGTAACAGAGCTGCTGAACGCCCCCTTTGACACTCTCCTGACCTGCCAGTAGTTACAAGAAGGAGCAGACGAACTGGCCAAGAAGATAGCTTTGAAAATCCTCATATTCACCTGATTGCCACTACCCTGACACAGGCACAGCTGCATGCACACAGTCATTCATGTCTAACACAGGACAAGTATAGAAGGGTCCATGCCTGCAGCCTCTCCAACCCCCCGCACCTTTCCCAAGGTGCCTTTCACACTCACCTGCCTCGGCTGCCAGGGACTCAAAGAAAACAGCAGGCAGGGAAAAAAGAAAAAAAAAAAAATATATATATATACATACACACACCTGCTGGGTTAGGGGAAAGAGATGCAAGAACCTGCTGTTCCAGCTGCAGCACAACCAGCCCCTACACTAACCCACTGGATTGCATCTGTGTTCCTCCACAGCCATGGGAAACGGAGCTCTTGCTATCAGTTGCTTCTGCATTACAGATGCCAAGCCAGAAATAAGGCACAAATGAAAAAAACCAACCAAACAAAAAACCCAGGGTTATCCTTCCATCTGATCTTTCAAAAGAGGGACTGAGTGGAGAACAGATGCCCTTATCGGTGCTGCATTTTCTACCTTTACAAACTCCAAAAGGTGGGGAAAAAAAAAATCCAACTCCAATTTTCACTTCACTGTGAAGATCTCTTGATCTTCCCTGGGCTATTTATAAGCAGCTTTAGTTAGAAGACAGTTTGCTCAAAGAAAAAGGGGAAAATTCGGGCACTGATTACACAGCTAGTAGAGCACAGCTTCCGAGTAATTTTTAACTCACACTGATGCTTCAAGCCACTCCAGAGATTTTGCTTCACCATAAATTAGCTATTTCCTCTCTGCAGAGTGAGAAACGCGCAGCTGTACAGGTCACGCAGCAACAGCCTCTTACCCAGAGTTTGCCATCCCAATAAAATGCTCCCAGCAGCTTGACGATGTGCCGGTGATCGCAGGTCGCCAGTATTTCAATCTCCACCATGTAATCCTCCAGTTCATCTTCACTCTTTGTTTCAATGACTTTGGCAGCTGCCAAAGCACCAGTTTCCTTGTTCTTAGCCTGCAAGACAAAACCAGCATGAGTACAAAGGCGAGGAAAGTCAGGAGCACACAGTATTTGCAGAATTCCTGCTCCTCCAATTCATGCTCAGCTTGACTGGTACCAGCCACAACACAAGCATGGAAACTTGCAGATGCACTTCTGCTTCCTAAACCTGCCCGTAGCTTTGCAGAGAGGACGAATGCCATGTCAGGGCCAAAGCATCCTCCTTCCTCCCTCCAGTCTCCAATGCCCACATCTCTTCCCACCAAGGGGAGAAAGAGGCTTTTAGAAAAGGAGATGCATCCTGTTGTTTGTAGCATTGAGGGGAAAAAAAAAAGGAATCAAGAAACCTCAGAGTATAGAGGCTCTCTGATAATATCATAGGTGATAGCTCCAATTACTCGAAGTCCCAAGTATACAGATAGTCCAACCAAATTCACAGTACAGCTGTGCACCTTCACCACACCTGAACATCCCTACATTCCCGTTCCTCACCAGGGCAGTTTTCTGTAACACATGAGGGAAACTTAGGGATCGCCTCCTTGGCGAGTAAAGCAACAAGAAGGGTGCGTTTTGATTTATCAGGACTGGCCAGTATTCCTGGTGTTGCATATTAATGAGCTCTTCAGATCACAAAAAACAAACTACTACACATGCTCTCCCAGCTGCTACCTCCATTTCATACAGTCCCTTTAACCAGCTTATTCAGCAAGTAACTAGAAAACCAGCAAAACCTCTTTGTCCTAGCGGCTGGAAAAAACTTTTGCTGACTTTCCCTCCCCATTCCTCACAACAACACAGGAGCGTACCCTTGGGTTAGCAGCTCGCCGACCTCCTTCCCCAAACACCCTTCCCCAAGCAGCTCTCACTGCCTTGGAAGGGGTCACCGAGAGCTGCACAGTGGCTGCTCTGCTTGTAGGTGCCAGACACCAGCAAAAGGCTACTGATGCTGGACTGGAAGCATTTGCAGGCGTGTTTCTTATCACTCCATTCCTCTTGTGCCCCCATCCTGCACGGGGAAAGAGGCGGCTGACAAAAGCTGGGCTAAAAGCAAGCATCTGTACGCAGGCAGCATCAGGCAAGCCTTGGAGCAGCTCCCACGCAGTACCATTTCAGCATCCTCCACCCAGCACTGTCCATTGGCTTCCCCCAAAACTACCAGGACAAGTTTGCATTTTGCAATTGGGAATTTGCACAAATTGTTGCAAGAATTACAAGTTCACAACAAAACACCAAAAGGGCGTTTGCGAGACAGTCTGCACACAGGGCTTCATGGTGAGATGCGTCACACGCTGGGAGAGGGGGCGAGACGGGAGTTGTTGACTCAGGAGCACCCCGTCATTCCCAGAAAAGCATTAAATCAGCAGATCAAGGTGCAGGAGAGATCCCTACAGCTCACCCACTCTGCTCCCCACTCATGCAGGGCAGCCCCATGACGTGATTCCAGTTCATTACCCATTTTCCTTCCATCACACCCACTCCGGGCTGCCTGTCCCCTGGGGCAGAAAGTCCCACCGTGAATGCTATCACCAGAGGAGCTGGGCAAACTCCAGTTGTGACCTTTCTTACTGCCTTGCAGTTTACATATCTATGTTTGGAAAACCTACACAGGAGCTTATAGGAGGATTAATTCCTAGTATAAACACCACAAGCTCTGCTGAACAGTTTTATATAGTTTAGGTGATAGTGTAACTGTGTACCAATGAACAGGGTGGGGAGGGGGGGAAGGAATAAAGGAAAAACCATATAACAGAGGAAGGGAAATAAGGGACCCTGACTCTCTGCTGGGTTTTGAAGACTTGTTCCATTTGGACAAGTTGGCATGGACAGCTGTGTCTTTAGCACAGAGGACAAACCCATTTCCATCTGGGCTCCCTGCCCAAATGCAAGACAGCAGCTCATGCTGGCTGCAGAAGAAATTAGGGTGCTGGGTTTTTTTCCCCCTCAGGTTGGTTTGTTTCTTATCCAGTTGCTACCAGATGCCCAGAGGTGGGCAGGCAGAGCGGGGCAGGGGGAGATGCAGAGCAGAGCAAGCACAGGGAAGAGCACAGTGCTTCCGAAACGAAGCAAGAAGTGCCCCAGTGTTTGCTCTGCACTTACAGCGTTGGGAGAGGTCCAAGGAGGGGAAGTAAATATTGTGAGAAGAGGTGGGGCTCCCCTTGGAGATCAGCCATCGCACACTTCCCACCGGCGGGGTCCCGGCCAGCTCAGCCCTTCCAGGATGCTGGGGCCCTGCAGGCACCTGAAAAAATCCAGGAGCAGAGCGTGCCCCAGCCCCCCACTGCATCATCTCCCACCGAGAGGTCTGAGCCAACCTGCCCTCACCCCCAAGCCTCGGAGGAGCCACCTCTCATCCCCTCCTGGGCTTGCTAAGGCATGCAGGGGTGCTGGATGCCGAGTGGGAGGACATGGTTTTGCAAACTGGGCTGCAAGCTGTGGGTGGGGGAGCAACCGCAGCCCATGCGTTCACTGTGGCAACCTGACCTTATTCATCGTTACTCCTATGACTAGCAAATGAGCAACCCAGCAACCCCCTGTGATCACTTCCTTTCTAGATCAGAGCCTGTGTACACCCTGCCTGGCGTTCAGTCTTTAAAGATGTCCACAACAGAATTAGCTGCTGCCTTTCTCCACCACTTTGGACTGTCCTGATGAGTCTATTTCCCCAGTCATCTCTATTTCCTCGTCCATTCTAGTGGGGGACGCAGCTCAGGGAGGGAGTGGATCCCATGAGCTGCATGACGTGGGCTTCCACCCCAAAAGGAGAGAAGCACTGCACTATCCCAGGTCCCCCCAGGCCAGCCGGCACAGGGATGTCACACCGCTCGGTCACACCAGCAGAAGCGATACCACCATCTCTGAGGAGAAGTCAGCTCAGGACATCACAAACTCATGATGCAAGAACATGAGCTTTAGAAACAGCAAGCTCACACAGGGATGGTATGGGCACGAACCCTGTACTTTCCGTGGCCCTGCAATAATGTCACCACTACAACCAAGTGCACCCACTGCACTTCCCAGAAGGGACCAAAATGCCCCGCAGCCCCACAAGAGAGCAGAAGAAGCTGAAGTAGGAAGGGGACCTGGGACCATGAGGTCAGTAGGAGATTTTGGAAAATTAATCTCCTCCAGCACGGCCCACTGTAGCGTGGAGAGGAGACTGGTTGCCCCACAGAGCTGCTGTTGAGAGGACCAACACTCACACAGGCTGGACAGCCGATCCCCTCCTGAGTTGTCTGAGCCCAAACCCAGTCTGTAGGGTTTCTACCATACAAGACGGAGGGAGATGCACACCGGCTGGAGTGGGCGCTCCTGAACTGAGCTCAGCAAGTCACGTTCGTCATTGCAAAAGCTTTGAAAATCCAAGTAGCTTCCGCCCATTTCTCCACCTTCCCTTTCTCTACATCTGCTTGTCCTCCAGCCCTGACACCAGGCTACAGCCACGTTCCTGGCAGCCTCCCTGGGAATGGCAGGTGCCTGCCATCAGGCAGACGGCTGCACCACAGTCCCTTGCAGCAGCCAGCTCTAAAAGATGCTCACAGCAAGCCAGAAATACACAGGCAGCATCAGATTTTGGCCAAATACACCAGGCGGTCTCTCTGTAACTCACGTCTGGTAATTTCCTTCAGCTTCTCTATTTTCCTGCATACGATGTATTACGACAAAGATGTTCTTACAGGAAGGTCTGCTGGGATCCCCAATAGGCCAAATGCATACATTGCCAGCCCCAGGAACTGGTTTCAGATATCCCAAGCACAAGATGATGCTTTAGGGTTTAAAGCCCTTTCCTGATTTCTGCTTATCTTTGTGCAATAGATCAGAATCTGCCCCGAGACATTAACACAAAGCAAAGCACAGCCTGCTCTTACCTCAAAAAGCCAAGCTAGCAATTAGGCAGAAGGAACCAGCATCTCCAAGCCCGTAACCTGCATGCCTGGACGACAGCCCTGACGGCAAAGGGACACACAGTGCCAGGCTGAGAAAAGGCAGCATCTGCTGCTCATCCTCCAAGAGCTGCGGGAGGGAAGAGAAGGGCTGTACCAGCCTCTCTGCAGCTTCACCTCTACCTTGAGGGGGTGGTCATGCCCTCACCTTGCAGCAAGGGAAACGAAAACTCCTCTCATGGTGACTTCTTTATTTATCTTTAAATCCCAAAGAAAAGAAGAGACAATGATATGGAAGAAAGAAGATGACCAAGAATTATCAAGAAAGCACCCTAGGATGACTCACCAACACGATTTGAATTACGCACAATTTGAATTACAAATCCAGAATCTTCTGCAAACCCCAGCCCAATTACAGGGTCTCCAACTCAGCAAAAGTCCATGTAGAGAATGCAGAGATGGGGAGAGAGTTTCTGTTCTCAGGTAAAACAGCCCCAAATGCACAGCCTTTGAAGAATTCATGGTGTTTCCCATTTTTTCCAGTGAAATTTGTGGACAGGAGTGAAAGAACCACCCAGATGGCGAGATCCCAAGAACAGAAACTGTTTGATGGCAGCCTATGACCTACGGCTGGTCAGTCAAAAGCACACATCCAGTTCCATCTTTTAGCTCCTCCACTCCTGGGCATTGTAATGCCACGGATAATTTTCCCTGGAGTGCTAATTAGCACCAAAAAGACCAGAGGAGACAGTTGCCAGCACAGTGCCCAGGATGTGCTGCTGAACTATAGTTAGATTCATTACAGTCTTGGCATTTAAAACCTGAAAGCCCCTATGGCCCCTATCAGCCTTTGTGCAAATCGATGCCCCGCACAGACCGTGGCTGACAGGTCTATGCAGAAACAGGACTGGAACATGCATTCCACAAAAGAAAACAAATCAAAAGTTATCTGGTAAACCACTTCCAGAAAGCCACACCAGGAGCCAAGCAGGATACAAAGCAAAGGATCTTGCTGGAGTCCTCTGGAGTAAGAGAAGTGCTGGACATCCTACTGCCAAACACACTTGGGAATACCAGGGAATAGGGGATGAGTAGGATTACTCCTAGAAGGCAGAGACACGGAGAAACGACTGCTCAGCTTATGGATTTAAGGGGTTAGAGGTGCCAGGTTCAGGTGACAGAAGAGGCTGTCTGGCCTTTGCCTGTGACACCCTCCAAGCTATTGTGAAACCCAGATTGCGACAAACACAGGAGCTATTTTAAGCCTTTAAAGAACACATTACCGGAAGGCTGGATTGTTCGGTCCTTCCTCGGGCAGGATGGCTGCCGAAGGCAGGGCCAGTTTCTAGGTGAGGCAGAGCAAAACCCTGCA